AGTCGTTGCGGACGTGTGCGTTTACAGTGTGAAAATGGTCTTCGACAGCCCAGGGACGGAAGTGCAAAACACCTTGCGACTCGTCAGCGAGGCCGGGTTACTGGATGCCGACACAACTCTGTTAACCGACGTGGACAAGCTCCCGGAGTGGTGCAGCCTGCAAAACCGGGAGTGGCACGAAAAATTCTACAGCAACGCGCTCCGCTGCGCCTGGGTCGTGGAGGACCGGTGTCGCGACATCTATTGTGCCGCCGCCGCATTCCCCGCGAACGAAGTGAAAAAAGTACCGGAATGCTTGACGGACTGTCTCTCCTTTGCCATCGCCAAAGTGGGCGTCGCCACCGTCCGCCGACAGACACTGAACATTTTTGCCACTTGTTCCGACCGCAACGCGCCATTCACTTTGGGGATCAAACCTATGTAATCGGAATAAATCTATCGCAATACTACATGCAAATCGCCTACGCCTGCTATATCAATATACTTACACTGTCATCTAATTTTTATCAAGTTGACAAGGCAGTGCACATTGTAATCAATGCTGAATCATCTGTAGAAAAAAGTTATGTCATGCCAGATGCCATTGAAGAAATACATACGAGTATCGGATAGTACTTTTGCAGTGGATCCTTCCCCCAAAGTTACGATTTTCATCGTCCACCAGCACACCGAGGGAACTGTTACCGCCGCGCGAACAAGGCCCTTCTGTTTCTGGTGAAGGAGCAAAAGATCAGCAAAGAAGTCGCGGTGCTTCATCGGCACTACACACGAAGGCGGAACAAGCTCCACTGGGATTTTTGCCTGGCCAGAAAACAGCAACTGTAGAGGCTCCTGTAGATGACGCACCAGAACTACTGGAGCACAAGAACGGCAGAGGAGGTGCTGACCATGGCGAGATTGTCCTCGCGGCTTTGCAAGATGAACTCAAGCTGCAACCTCGAGGATTTTCCTATCAACAAGCTTCTCCTGCTACTTCTTCCGGGTCAAGAATTTCTGGAAGGCTTCAAGATCACGCTTCTTTGACGGAGAACTTCCCTATGCAGCAGGAGGAGTCTACTTTTCACGCCGCCCTCTTAGCACGCCGACCACACAGCAGGCCGCCGCGACGTGCTCTCACGACTGTGTCCACCACTCTGGCCCTGGCGGACTACTTTTCCACCGTCATATCGACAGTAAATTTCCTGTACACGTACAAATGCTGTCTCTGCATGAAAAAATTTGCCTTCAATCCTAGTGTAGCATGACAAGTTGTACACTGCAAGTTAGCAAAATGTGTCATGCATTTTGTACATGTACAGGAAATTTTAATTTACATTGCATACGTCACTCACCACTTTTACGACATTTTCATTTACACCAACCGACAACTGATTCTCACCGGCAGCGCCGCTGCCACCTTTGCCTCGGTCCAGGCCGAGTACGTGGTCGGCTTACTCGTCGCGATCGCGTCCAGTAGGGTCCTCGTGGCGTCCGCTCTGTCACTGCTGGGCGGTCTGGCGGAGGCGTTGCTGAACCAGAAGGCGCTTTTTCCCTTGTCTCAGCACGGCGGCTGGATTCTCATTTTGACTCTGTGCGAAGCGCTCCCGGTATACGCCGCATTGCTGGCGCTGTTGCAGCAATTAATCGGAGACTACGTGTTCTCCCTGGTGTGCCTGCTGTTCTTAGCGTACATCTATCCACTGCAAATTTATATTGCCTGGATGTAGAAAACAAAGGAAACTTGTCATGGTGCTGAAGTACAACTTCGCAGATGAGGAGCAGATTCAATCATCGCAGTTGGCAAGCTCAAGCAAGCATGACGAGTTTTTTCTCGGCGCCAGTTCCTCGCTGTGTGAGTATTTGATATGAAAACATCCACTTTCGTCGCGAGTAAGCACTTACATCAAACAAGTCCGAGTGATGTTGTCGGACAGCATGCGGTTGTACAAACGCTAGATCCACATTAGACACACATAATGTCCAGTTCCAAGAAAGCCAGACATAAATATTTGCAATGTCGATGACACCGCGACGGGAATCCGCACCGGTTGGAGACTGCTGACTCTGCGGAAGATGAATTTCGACTTGAGTAG